GGCGGCAGCGATGCAACCGCCACTACTACTGCAACAGCAACCACCAGCACTTCGAGTGATGGGAACGACGCGAAAAGCAACGCGGGCGGCAGTGCCACCAACAGCAACGCCACTCAGAAAGCCGTGGCAAATGCTGCGGATCGCAGTGCCACCTCCACTCCGTTTGTGCGTGCGCCTCTCATGCTGCTACTCACGGCCGCCCTTGCCTGTGGTGCTGGGTAAGTGGTGGGAAGCAACCGCACGCAGACGCGCACACCCTGGCAGGGACGACGCGTAAACATTGTGCGCTCATTTTGCTTGTTGTCCCTGTGGGTCAATCCTCCTCTCCCTCCTGTGCTCTGAGGGATGGTTCCTTTTTTCTTCTCCTTCTCTTTTTACTTGCTTGGCCACCCCATGCACGTTCCCATGGGCGGCGCATCCTTTTCCCCCTCCTGTTTGCTGCCGCCATCCACACAAACACGCGGTGCCGGCCTCGTGGCTGTGCGTCGCACGGACCGCCCAAATGAGGCCCGAGGCCGCTGCCACCGTGAGGTGAGTGTGCGTGTGGAAACGTGATGTGTGGGCTCATGCAACCAGTCGGGTGTTTCTTTTCTTTTCATGTGGACAATAAACATATCCACGCAGCCGATGAATAAATAACCTGCTGAAGCATCTTTTCTTTTCTTTTCTTGCGTTTTGGGTTTCTACTTGCTTGTTTTTGTTTTACTTTGCTGCGTTGCTCCCGCCTTCCTGCCGGCTGGGCGCCTGTGCCGTGCTCACCGTCCCTCGGCATCCTGCCCGTCGAACCCCACCTGTCTCTGTGCGCGCTTCGAAGGCTTTGCAGCTAAAAACAGCAACACGCATACACACCCACACACAGGCACAATCGTTGCGGCCTGCACGGATCCACCGCAAGTAGTGTGAGAGTCGGAGGCTCAACATGCCCCGGCACCTGTTTTCTTCTGCGGTGCTGTTCCTCCTCTGCGTGCTGTTGATACGCAGCGGCAGCTGTGAAAGTGCCAGCGCTGAGGAGGCGCAGGGTGAAGTTCGTCAGTGGGTGCCCAAACCTCAATCGTTTGCGAATGCCACCATTGGCTTGGGCGCCAAAGCGGACTCCGAGGGCGCAACGGGTTCGTTCCGTGTCCCTTGACTTGTTCTTGTGAATGGGGGGCGTGGTCTTTGCCCTAGGCGCACGCGGGAGGCTCCGCTGTGGGTGTTGCTGCTGGCATTGCCGCAGGGGGCAT